AAAGTATTCTTGCATTGAGGGAGTACTTGAGTGGAGGCCCAATGTCCTTCTGCTACCTTAATACTAAACCTATGGCACGGTTCTTATGACTAAAATGTTTTCTGTTCTTCAACCTAGAAGTCCTTTGGAAACAGCATCAGCAGGTCCAATGGGGAGCCCGAGCGTGTGGAGCGCGTAGAGCGGAATGACATACCTCACAAAAGCTTGCAGGTGTGGCGCTGTTCTTGCTCATCACAGAGCCCGGCTTCCTTTGTTAAAGCGATGTTCCCCAACGAGAAGCACTTTAAGAATTACAATTTTGATTTGTTTTTCATTTCTAAAATTCTGTCCCTAAGTTGTCTAAGACAGAATGTAATTTTAAAAAGCAAATTAATTTCATTTATTGAGAATCTCCAAAGCAAAACATGCACTAATTCAGAAGTTTCTACATGTGCTACCATTAAGTGATATGTCTCAATGCAATTTAATGAATTTTTTTGTAGAACAAACAGCTATATTGAGATACTAATTGATATAGTTTAAAAGGAATCACTGCATTTTTAAGTCATTATTTTGGGGAGTGACACCATGGTATACTTTTTTTTTAACTCATCCAGTGTAAGTCGTGTGTCTCTTGAGTCCCTTTTGTTTGCACAGCGCTTTGTTAAGTCCCACCGATGAAGAGATGACGTGGCCCCTCCCTGCAGGGCTGAGTCTCTTAGTGGAGATCCTTGTACTTACTGGAGGAACAGAGATGTACTTTCAGAAAGTTTGTGGGAAAATGGAATTGAAAAATGATGAATTTTTCCCACACTGATGATTGTAAATTACATATTTTTTCCAACTAGGAAAAGTTCCATTTATCACAAGAAAGCAGTTACGTATCTACACAGTATAGCCTTCGCCCAAGAAGAGAAGAGATCAAATTTAAAGAAATAGAGTCTAAAGAAGAAGAGGTTGTTAAGAAAGGACCGGCATCTTCGAGAACCTTTGATGTGACAGCCACGCAGACGAGGGATCTAGAGTTTGGAGGCGTCCCAGGTAGGGGAAGCCAGTGCCGAGGGGAGAGGTAGCTTCCCTCAGATGGATAAGGTAGGCCTCTGAAGAAACCCTTTGTGAGCAAGGAGATGAGCCAGGTGGAAATCGGGGCTGAGCCTCCAGTGAGAACAACAAATGCCATGGTGGGAGCGTTTTTCGGCCAATTTGGGGGCATTGTCCTAGAGTGGGATGGAGGCCTGCCAGTGGGGCTGTATTCCAAACTTTCAGCAACCCGTTTGCAGAGAAGTGCAAAGGAGTGATGGGAAGGTTGAGCTGACACTTGTGTATTGGAAGGATGGCCATCAGTTAGGGAAGAGGGCAATCTGCTAATCCTGACTGGAGAGATAAAAGGAGTCTTTGGCTAGGCATTGGGCTGCTAACCACAAGGTCAGTGGTTCAAACTCACAAGCAGCTTTGAGAGGGAAAGATGTGTTGCAGAAACCGTGCATGGGAGAGCTCACTATGCTGACCGTGGGTTTGACAAAGGCCTAGATAAGCAGTGTTGTTGTTGTGTCAGTTCTGACTCAGGACCTATAGGACCTGTATAACTGCCACCATAGGGTTTCCAAGGCTATCCTCTTCACTGCTAGAGTAGCCTGTCACCTCTTTCTCCCCCATAGCGGCTGGTGAATTCAAACCACAGACCTTCTCCTTAACAGCTGCGTGCCGAACCACTGTGCCATTGGGGCTTCTTGAAGTCAGCCTGCTGGACTGCTTGTTTATGGGGCTCAAAGATCTGAAGTGTTCAAAGATTGGGGTTATAAAGTGGGTGGAACTGGTGAAACTTAATGAACCAGTATGTTAGTCTGGGTTGACCAGAGTAACAAATCCAGGGATACTCGTGTGTAAGAAAGAGTTTTATATCAAAGAACAGTTATATATTGAGAAAACATCCCAGCCCAGTCCAGATCAAGTCCATAAGTCCTATATTACTCCATATGTCTGATTTTCATCTATAAATTCGTCTTCAGACTCATGTAGTACATGCAATGATGCCAAATGTAGGAAGATCACAGACTGGTGGGTGGAAACTCTTGTGGATCCAGTGGCGGTAGAAGCATCTCAGCGCCCTGGCGTGGGTCTCCATGTGGCATCTCCAGTTCTCTGAGTGTCTCAACAGCAGGAAAGTGAAGCAGAGGGGTAGTGTGTGGCTTCTAGGGAGAAAGAGGAAATTCCCAGAATCCGCAGAGAAGGCCGCGCCCACAAGGAGGCATCATCAGGCTGGTACCTAAATGACATGCTAGACTCTACCCCTTCACTCTATCAAGTTGACATGAAATCATCTAACTATTACAACCAGGAAGAGAACATACTTCATGGCAAAATGGTTCAGAATCCTCTGTGGGTGAGTTGCCTTGGGTTTTGTTCACTTATAACCCTGGTCAGCTGGTCTGTTAAAGTTCGGCATCACTTAAGATTAGTGCATGTGCTAGGTGAATGTGGTATTACTTCAATTGTTAGAAACTTAGGGAGACATGGAAAGCTTTTTTTTCTCTAATAGTTTTATTGGCACTTCATCAGTTCAATCATATCAAGAAGAGTTGTATAATCATTAGTACAATTTTAGAACATTTTCTTCATATGGTCATTGTTATTCATGTAATTAATCTTTTTAAGTGTTACAACGATATACACAACAAAGTATTCTCCAATTCCACAACTTTTACATGTATAATTCAGTGCCATTGATTACACGCTTTGTGTTATAGACCATTATTGATACCCTTTTCCAAATTATTCCACCACCATTAACATATAAAGTCAATGCCCCTGAAGCAAAAACTCTTCCTCATTCACCCATGGTAAACAATCATTGGTCACATTTGGTTTCTTTTAACAATGTTTTCAGTACTTTTCTGATAATAGTATTCACATATTATGCACTTCCATAGTTACATTGCTTTTAAAAAGAGTTGTCTATACATCATCACAGTCCATTCTAATGCTCCCTCCCTCTCCTGCATTCATTGCTAGCTCCCTCATCCTCCCAGCCCCCATTCCTGATAAACCATTGTATCCTTTTTCTATGTGTCCACTCCTGTGCTTCCTAAATGGGGAATACAACAGAAACAATAGAAACAAAAAGGAAACAGAATGAAGAAAACAATAATGATACAAAAATACAAATACAAATAAAAAAAAATACAAATAAAGAGAGTAATAAAGAAAAGACAACCAACAACATTTTAAAAGCCAGAGAAAACGTTTCTGTCATGGAACAAATGAGAAATATTTGAGCCCAGATCAAAAGGTCAGGTTCAGTCAAGACTCAAAGTCAACTGACTATCATGGTTTGATCCACCATAATCAAGTCTACAGCAATCTCTGTCTGATAGTAAAGCTGTTCAGGTCCCTTGCCTGTGGCCAGAGGGGATCTGCCAGAGGCCTAATCTGACTAGATACTCTGCAGATGGATTTTGGGCTCCCACTGTCCTCCATGGCCTTCTACAAATTGGGTTTTTACAATTTCAAGTCTGATAATTTTCCTTTCGTCATATTTAGATTTTGAGATTGTCATCTATGGATCACAGAGGCTGGTGTGTTTCCTCTGTGTGGCTTTTGTTGATGCCTTGCTTAAATGGCTGCTTGTTTGAATGCAAGCTTTTAAGACCCCAGACACTATTCTAGTTGATAGCTGGGCACCATCTGCTTTCTTCACCACACGTTGCCATTTCACTCTTATCTTCAGAGATCTCTTCATGAAGAGCATCAAGCAGGGCTGTGCTATAAGAACTTACTGTTCTTGGATGGGGCTGGAAATACATGGGGGTCCAGAGTCTGTCTACTTGTCCATGGATTATGAACGACTCTGGATAACTTTGATGGTCATATTACGACAGAAACAAAAATGAAAAATCACAGCAACAACAAAACAAACTCATAGAAGCAAAAACAAAACATGATCAATCATTCCCCTGGGATATAAAGTGATTGCATTGATAACATCAATAATTTATCCCAGTGGCATAGAATTTAAGGTCCTGTTGATATGAGGAGTTATGTGAGTATAGTCCAACTTTGAGTTGCAATCCACGAGTTGTTCTGCACAGATTGATTTCTTAGTTGTATGAGTTCCATTTACATTGAGCATGAGGGTTACTGCTAGGGGAAAATTTCCTGTATCATTTCTTACAAGGCAGATCCTTGCCTCTTAGATTAATACCTGTCACGTTAATGTAGAGGGAGAATCGAGGTATTAAATAAATGGTGGTTCTGGGTCCCCTTCCATTTGGGCAACCACACCCACTAAGCCAGGGTTCCCACCTATGATCCAGTGACCACCATTTCCACAGTTTTGGGATAGTCATCCTTTGCTTCCTCTCCTATGAGAGTATTTCAGTCCCAAGTCCAAGGGTACAGGGAGTTTTGAGGTAGGGCCCTGTTGGTTCAGTCGGGCTTCCATGTGGAGTTCTTACGGTTTTATTTGAAGATGAGATTGATAAATGTTAGATGTTGGAACTGTTAGTTAGTTGGAGTGTCCTCAGCTTTACCCCTCCAGTGGTTGCATGTTAGGGTTTGGCTGCTCAGGTAAAATTCAGTGCTCAGTGGCATCTTTCTGTCTTCCTAGTGTCATTCGTGGACTGGAGGTGAAAGGGAGAGGGTAGGACTGCTGAAGGTACTTTAGAAATTGGTTTCAGGGAATTACACAGACTTGAGTTCTGGCCTTCAAAACAAACATCTAAATTATTCTTTGAAAAAAAGGGAATGTAACCAGGTTGAACTTTGACTTGCAGGTGCTTGCCTCCTCATGCTGGGCCTGCCAGCCTTCCTCATCCTACTGCTGTTGATGTGTGAGCAGAAAGACCCCAGCCTGCTCAATTTCCCTTCTCTGCCAGCTTGGCACAACTTATGGGAGACCAGAGTGTTTGGGGCCTACCTTCTCTGGTTTTTCTTTCAAGCTCTACTCTACCTGCTGCCAATAGGAAAGGTGAGTTTTTGCCAGTAGAACTTCATCTTGTGAGGTTTTCTTTCCTTCTGTCCCATGTTTGTAGAACTAAGTTTGCATTAATTTTAAGGATAGAAGCTGGCCTTGCCCATAAGTACTGTCTTTGCCCATAACCACCAAACTTGGTTTTGATAAGTATCTCTTCCAATAACGTGTTTATTTTAAGCAGAATGGTAAAATTGAGATTTTACCTTCTTAAACTGTATAGAAAAGATTATTATAGAGGTTTTTTTTGTGTGTGTGTGCAAAATAGCTTGACTGATGGCAGTCTCCGGCTCACTGCCATCAGTCGATTGTGACTCATAGTGACCATGTAGGACGGGGTAGAACTGCCCTTGTGGGATTTTGAGTTTTAACTCCTTACGTGAGTGGAAAAGTTCATCTCTTTCTTGACTAAAGGTAGAGGTAGTTACAAAAAAGAAACCCCCTCAGTATATGTCATGTCATGGGTGGAATCACCTTGATGGCAGTGAACTTGGTTTTGCTTCACGGGCCATTTCAGCTGAGGATTTTAAATGATGAATAGGTGACCAAATGAACTGCCAGCTGTAACTTTTACTTTTTATAGTTTAGAGCTTCAGATTTTCATCTCTTTTGCAAAACGTGTTGTTTTTTAAAAAAATCATTTTATTGGGGGTCGTACAGCTCTTATCACCATCCATCCATCCATCCATCCATCCATCCATCCATCCATCCATCCATCCATCCATCCATCCATCCATTGTGTCAAGCAAATTTGTACCTATATTGCCATTATCATTCTCAAAACATTTTCTTTCTACTTGAGCCCTTGGTATCAGCTCATTTTCCCCCTCTACCCCCTCCCTCATGAACCCTTGATAATTTATAAAGTATTATTTTTTTGTCATGTCTTATACCGACTGCTGTCTCCCTTCACCACTTTTCTGTTGTCCGTCCCCCTGGGAGGGGTTATATGTAGATTATGGTGATCCTTTCCCTCTTTCTCCCCCACCTTCTCCTCGCAAAAATGTTTTATGTTCTTTTTCACTTCATGCAGTATCCTTAACATTTGTCTTCATTTCGTAGTGTACTTTTTTCCTTTCAGTGGAATAATTTACTTGGATTATTGAAAGTAACACGAGCTTCCTGATCAATAAATAATTTAGTTGAAGATCTTATTCTAGGGGCTTTGCTAGTTTGCCAACTGCCAGTGAAACAAGATCAGCCCTAGGCGTGGCAAACACTGAGAGGAGCACCAGCTGCAGGCTTTCTGGCTTTGGAAGCTCACCCTAGTTTTATTGGCTTTAGTGAGAACTTCAGTGCTTTGGGCTGGCAGGCATTTTTATGGTGAGAGTCGAGAATAAAAATGACAAATTCACATAATTGTGTACCGTGAGCTAGTTCAAAATCATTCACTGCCATCGCTGATTCCGACTCATAGCGACCTCATAGGAGAGGATAGAACTGCCCTGTGGGTTTCTGAGATATAACTCTTTAAGGGAGTAGAAAGCTTCGTCTTTCTACCAGGAGCAGCCGGTGGTTTCAAACCGCTGATCCTGTGATTAGCAGCCCATCATGTAACCCACTGTACCACTAGGGAGCCCCTTAGTTCAAACTCGATAATACTTATTAAGAAAAGCAGTTTTGGTAGTTAAAGAAGACATAGGCACAGACGAAGCCACCGTAGAAGGCGTTGGATGCTTCCAACAGGTAGGGTTTTTCAAATTTAGTGTGGGGGTGACCTAAGACAAATGATAACAGCATAAGTATTTTACAGTTTAAGAGAAATTTCTGCCTTTTAACATCATTATTTTGGGGAGTGGCTGCCCTGAGGCAAGTGGACTTTCATTTATTTTAAAACTCATCCAATGTAGGCCCTGTGTCCTCTTGAGTCCCTTTGTGTGTGCATCACTAATTAAATGCCAACAATGAGGAGATGAAGTGGCCCCATCAGGGTTCACTCAGAGTCTCTTAATGGAAATATAAGACTTACATGAAATGCTTAAATCACTGGAGGAACGTAGCTGTACTTTCTGAAAGTATGGGAAAATGGAATGAAAAGAAAATGGAATTTTCCCATGAGCTTTTTGAAGCGTCCTCATAAAAATAGCAGAGCAAGTAAGTAGGTGGGCTCATAACATCGATCAAAGCGGCCTGGGAAGACGCAGGCATGACAGTGAATTTTGGATTGTTTTGGTCGAGCCTGGTGGAACAGGACCTCATGAGTGTGTGCCAGAGGAGTGTCTGCTCTATTTTGTAAGCTTGGGGAGCCAGCGAAGAACTCTGAGCTCAGTGACTGGAGGGACGGTGTGTTAGGCACAGTGGGGCGGAGTGGTGGTGGTGGTGGTGGTGGCTGCGGCACTGGCACTGTGCTGGTCTCAGGACGCTGAGTAGGGAGGGTTAGAGTTATACGCCTTCTCCTGGTGTGATTGCTGTGTTAAAGGCTTTGGTGAAAGATTGGAAACACGACATTAAGTTGTCCTCCTGAAAGAAGATCCTGCTTGTGGGCATGTTGAAATATAAGTGGTGTTAGAAGAAGATACCTATATGAGAGGGCTTCAGAATGTTCCTGGGAAAAAACCTCCACTTTCTGTAATGTGTTAGTGATGTTAAAAGGTACACACGTAGATGTGATGATAACTGATGTATGCTTTTAAATAACTTTTTTTTTCTTTTAAGGTTGTAGAAGGCACACCTCTCATTGATGGAAGAAGACTTAAGTACAGAATTAATGGTGAGTAATAATATATATTATATAAGACTCTGATGCCTTGTAGCTGAAGCCTTCCAGTGCTGTGCTATTGTGAACTGTCAGTGCAGATTCTGGGGCTCAGCCAATAACAGGTGATTTCTGAGTCATCCAAAGGCTTTGTGAGTCCACGGCTTACATCTGCAGCCACGTGGACCAGTGATGCTGTGAGAAAGGGCTTGCCCTGCTGTCTCTACCCTTTCCTGTTTGGTTTCCTCAGTAGCTCTTATCAGGCACTGAAATAATTTTGTCTGCATATTTCCAACTTTGGAGCCATCCCACGGCCTGCACAGTCCTGGGCTGCCAGCCCTCCCACCCTCTGGTAGCCACTCCCACCCTTATTCACTCTTGTCTTCCTGGCTTTCTCCAGTGTTACTCTCTCCTCTGACGGCTTTGCCTAGAAACCTTCTCCCCAAATGCCTGATGGCTGACTGACTTCCTGTCTCTGCTCACATGCTCTCTGCAGAGAAGCCTCAAGCACTCTTCTGTTTGCTGTTTGTGGTACTTACGCTTCATGATCCTCTGGCTTATTGATGCGTGGTGGACTCCCAGACTCAGTGTCTCTTCTGTCAGCTGGGGCTGGAGCATACTCCTGGGCCTGGACAACTAGTGGGTGCATGGTAGGCACATGGATGTGTGCACTTTGAACTTTGCCGCCCTTTTCAACAGTTTTATTGACATATAGTTCACATATCGTACAATTCAGTGGTTTAAATACAGTTGTGCATTTATCACCGCAGTCAATTTTAGATCATTTTCTCTATTCTTGCTTCCATTAACTTCCCAACTACCCCCAGCGTCTCCTGTCATAAGCTTAAGAAACTATTAATCTAGCTGCTGTTGGCCTGTTTTTCTTCATCTGGGCTCCTCCCTTGGGAGCCATGTGTCCTGAAGGGATCAGTCCACAGTTACCTTGCGTCGTTCCCCCCTACCCATTTCTTGAGGATTAGATTGTATTTTTTACTTATTAGTCTTGTTTATCCTATCAATTCTTACTTTTCTTTCTAACTTTGGCATACTCTTTATTTAATAGCTCATCTAATATCACTCTAACGGAAATTACTGTACTTTGCAGCCCACACAAGATGACCGTTGCCTTCTGCCCTTCAGTGTGTAGTGAGGAAGCCTCTAAGCTAGCTCCCAGCCTGCCCTGGTGGTGCTTCATCCTGATTGGCTAATCCCCTGCTCCCCCCCACCTCCCCTCTCCCCTCCCTCCCCAGTGGTGACTTCTGGTCCCTCCTGCATGAAAGAGCCATCCACCTTGTGGCCTCTGTGCCGAAGGTTTGACCTTGAGGGTTGTGCCCTTTATGGTGGGCGATGACTGGAAGCTTTTGAAAATGCCATCGACAGGTTAGATCAGGGAAGAAGGGTGCCCTCCCATTAGACAGCAGCCTGGGACTTTATGGTGTCCTTGGCCAGCTCTGTTAGTAGTCTGACTTTGTGCCCCAGGGTTGGATCTTGTGGATTTTGAGGTTCCTTTCAACTATTTAACAGCTAAGGGATAGTGGATTTCTGTGCCATCCCTTTCAGCTGGTCCAAAATTATATAATCACCCTTCTTGATGAAAAAGATTAAGTATGTTAAAATAACAATTTATAAACTATCAAGGGCTCATGAGGGAGGGGGGAGAGGGGAGGGAGGGGAAAAATGAGGACCTAATGCCGGGAGTTTAAGTGGAGAGAAAATGTTTTGAGAATGAAGAGGACAATGAATGTATAAATGCGCTTTGCACAATTGATGTGTTTATGGATTGGGATAAGAGTTGTATGAGTCCCTAATAAAATGACTTAAAAAAAAAAAAGAAAAAAAAAAGATTAAGTATGTAAAAACACTTGAGAAATTGCATGAGAGAGGCAGTAGCAACACTGAAGGCTGCTTTGCCTACGTGTGTGTATTCAACCTGAATAATAAATGTAAGACTTCAAAAACAACAACGTGCTTTTACATTGGTATGAATCTTGAATGATGTCTGAACTGCCTTTATCTTTCTGTTTGTTTTGGAAGGATTCTATGCTTTCATCCTAACGTCTGTGGTCGTGGGAGCCGCTTTCTTCTGGGGCGTGAAGCTTGGTGACGTGTACGACCATTTCCTTCAGTTGGCGCTGGGGGCGATTGTCTTTGCAGGGGTCCTGAGTGTGTATCTCTATGCCCGCTCTCTGAAGGCGCCCAGGAACGAACTGTCACCTGCCAGCTCTGGTGAGCAGTGACAGCCCGGATTGGATGCAGTCCAGAGCCCAAAGTTAATTTTATAGAAGAGAGATGAGGAAAAATTTAACAGATGAAGGAAAAAAGAAATTAGTGAATTTAAAGGAAAAAAATATTTCTTGATCTTTCTTAGGCTTCTGATGACCATAAAACTTAAAGTCATCACAATGTATGACAATTTTTTTGGTCCAAAATAGTCAAAAACTTTTCTTTTTTTAAACGACAAATCGCATACACATAACAGGTTGCACACATTCGTTGACTGTCACCTAAAAATATAAATAAATAAAAGCTTGCATATTGAGTCTACATCTGAAGAAAAGGTAAAAATAAAACTCTTTTGGGCCCGCACAGCACTTTTTATGCCCACGATTCAGTGGTAGGGATGGTGTTTGCCCAGAGGCAGGAGCTAGTGGTTGGGCCGAAGTCAGGGAAAGTTGAGGGGGTCATCTGACCGCATGGGCCCTCGTACCCCCACAGCCCCAAGCCTTCAGCGGGGCCGGCATCCCCACTTCCTTTGGGCCTCCTCCCGCCCTTCTTCACTTTTCATGCCAGGCTGCTTTCCTCGCTGCTCCTGCCAGCTCTTACAGACAGTGGAAGGTGTCCTGGTGGCGCAGTGGCTAAAGCCTTAGATGGTGGCGGAAAGGTTGGTGGCTTATACTCCCCTCCGCTCCGCAGGAGAAAGGGTGTCTTTAAGCTGCTTGTAGTGATTTCTTGTGGCACAGGGCCCGACTGCCAGGGTGTTAGTCCACAGAGCCTCTAGCTGGGTTGGGACTGCCAGCCTTGGCGTTAGCTGCCAGGCACTTCACTGAGCTTCACCACCAGGGTTTCTCCGTAAAGGTGACCACCAGGGCCACTAAGGGTCAAAACTGACCCTGTGGCACCAGTGTTTGTATTTCACGTGTCCGCAGTTGGATTGTGACCCGCAGATAGTAGATGACAGTGCAATTTTAAACCATCACGACTGGGTTTTGAATCATGTGTCTTAAAACTTGTCCCTTCTCAGGCAAGGCCGTCTATGACTTCTTCATTGGCCGTGAATTAAATCCTCGAATTGGAGCCTTTGATCTCAAGTACTTCTGTGAGTTGCGCCCTGGACTGATTGGATGGGTATGGTTGTCTTTTTTATTTTTTTATTTTGGGGTTAAATTTCAAGTCTGTAGTACTAATTCTGTAATATTAACCTTGCATTTAGAAAGAATTGTGGATAATTTTAAACTAAGCAGTGGGATCATGATAGCATTCTATAAATCTACATAGTGTTTTCTACCTGTAAATTGCAACGGTTCAAAATTTGGGGATAGAGTTCATTGTTCTCTTTTAATTGTATGTGGGAAACTGATAAGATAGGTAGATTCCTATAAGAAAAATGTCTTTCCTCCCCTTTAAAAATATTTTATGTTGAAATCCAGGGTGGATGAGCCCTACAGGACCAGTAGTGTGAGTGGTGAAACAGGGAGGGTAGAGGGAGAGTGGGTAGGAAAGAGAAACCGATTACAAGGAACTATATGTGACCTCCTCCCTGGGGGACGGACAACCGAAAAGTGGGTGAAGGGAGACATCGAACAGGGCAGGATATGACAAAATAACAATTTATAAA